TAGTAAGAGAATTTACATTAGTTTGCTGCTAATGACCTTCACTGATGAATTACACACACACTTGTCATATATCAAGACCACAGAAGGAGGTGATAGCACTCTACATTCTCCTTAGACCACCCTACACATTATACACAAAGTGTATGTAGAGGTAGATATAATTACCAAATTCCACTTTTAGGGTAAAACAGATTTTGCATTTGTTTTCACTATGAAAAAAAGAGGAGCAGTAGCATATGTGGAGTTGAGGCACTGATGAGATTATATTAATTAATGATACTTTACTATAACTATTTTAATAGAAATAGGTATAGGAACTGGACTTGTGAGGTTACTGCTACATAAAATTCTCAGATGAGGAAATTCTCATTACCATTTCAGGTCATTATTCCTCCGTGACATACAGCCTTCAGAGAGTTGCCCTGAGCTCTGATATTAAGTGACTTGTGCAGAGTCACACAGATAGTATGTGTCAGACTTCAACCTGACTTTGAGGCCAATTTTCAACTCCTCAGGCCATCCTGCCTCTCTATTTAAAAAAGTAAACACATTTTAAAAAGCATCTTCAATGCAGCTATGTTGCTCTGGAAATTGAGCAACAAAATAAAAGTCCTGGATCTATCCCTTCAATCTCTTGTTTACTGCTAATAGATCTGGGGATGTGGTACAAAGAAAATTTATCAGCCTTCTCTCTCTTTAATATCAGTCTAAATGACATATGTTCATATCTTCTCTGAAATGTCAGTCAGTCAATAAACATTTATTAAATGTCTACTTTGTGCCAAGAACTATGCTAAGTGCTAAGGATACAAAAAGAGGCAAAAGATAGTCTCTGCCCTCAAGGAACTCAAAATCTAAAAGGGTAGGACTGCAAACAAACAAATATGAACAAACAATCAGGAAAAAATGTGTGTATATATATATATATATGTGCATATATATGTATATATACATATATACATATATATACACACACACACGTATATAGGAATAGGAAAACAGGAAACAATTAAAAGAAGGAAAGCAATGGAATTAAGAAAGGTTGAGAAATGCTTTCTGAAAAGGATGGCGTTTTAATTGGGTCTTGAAGGAAGCCAGGACAGACAGCATTCCAGGCATGGGGGACAGATAGAGAAAATGCCTGCAGCCAAGAGATGGAATGTCTTATTTGAAGAACAGCAAGAAGGCCAGTGTCACTGGATCAAAGAACATGTGGTGCAGAATAAACTGTAAGAAGTTTAGAAAAATGGTGGGGGCATATGGAAAGGATTAGAATATGAAGGGCATTGAACAACAAACACATTTTGTATTTGACCCTGGAGGTGATAGGGAGCCATTGGAGTTTATTGAATGGAAAGGGGGCAGAGTGATATGGTTGGACCTGTGCTTTAGGAAAACCACTTTGGCAGCTGAAGAGTGCATGGAATGAAGTGGGAAGAGACTTGAGGCAGGCAGACCCACCAGTAAGATATTGTAGGAATCAAGGTGTAAGGTTATGAGGGCCTGCACTAGAGTGGTGGCAGTGTCAGAGGACAGAAGAAGGGGTATTTGAGAGATGTTGCAAAGGTGAAACCAATAGGCCTAGGAATAGCTTGGATATAGGGGGTTAGAGATACTAAGGGGGCCAGGATAACTCCTAGGTTGTGAGCCTGAGGGACTGGGATGATGGTGTTGCTCTCTGCAATAACAGGGAAGGTAAGAGGTAGAGAAGGGTTGAGAGAAAGATAATAAGCTTTGTTTTGGATGTATTGCATTTAAAATATCTACTGAATATCCAGTTCAAGATGTGTGAAAGACAGTTAGAAGTGAGAAATTGTAGTTCAGTAGAGAAGTTAGAGCAGGGAAAGTAGATTTGAGAATCATCAACATAGAAATGGTAATTAAATCCATGGAAGCTGATGAGATCACCAAGTGAAGTGCTACAGAGGGAGAAGAGAAGAAAGCTGAACCCTGAGGGACACCTACAATCAGAGGGCATGATCTAGAGGAGGATCCACCAAAGAAGATAGGCCAAAAAGGTAGGAGGAAAACCAGGAAAGAGTGATGTCCTGGAAACCTAGAGACAAGAGAGTATCCAGCAGGAGATGGTGATCAATAGTGTCAAAGGCTACAAAGAAGTCAAGGAGAATGAGGATTAAGAAAAAGCCATTGGATTTGGCAACTAAGAGATCCTCAGTAACTTTGGAGAGAGCAATTTTGGTGGGATGATGTGATCAGAGGCTCAATTGTAAAGTGTTAAGAAGTGAGCAAGAGGAGAGAGAATGGAAGTACCTATTGTAGATGGTCTTTTCAAGGAGTTTGGCCACAAAAGGTAGAAGAGATATAGAATGATAGTGGGGATGGAAAGATCAAGTGCGGGTATTTTGGAGACTAGGGAGACGTAGACATGTTTCTAAGTAGAGAGGAAGGAGCCAGTAGACAGACATTAAAGAAAAGTGGGAGAGTAAGGATGACAGAGGTGGCAGTCTGTTGGAGGCTATGGGACAGAATGAGATCATTTGTGGAAGGGTGAGCTTTGATAAAGAGCAAGCCTAGCTCATCATGTGAGACAGGGGTGAAGGAAGAAACAGTAGCAGAAGGCATGAGATGAAGAAGGATAAGGGAGTTCACAGCAAATAGCCTCAATTTTTTTGCAAAATATGAGGCAAGGCTCTCAGATGAATAGGTGGTGGAAAGGGGAACTTTGAGAAGTTGAAGGAGGGATGCAAAGATTTGGAAGAGCTGCTATGGAGAGTGAGACAATGAGTTGATTAGGGAGGTGCAAAAGGACTGCCTAGTAGCATTGAGGGCCCAGTTGAGGTTGTCTCTCCTATGGTTCAGCAGCATGAGTGTCGGAATTAAGGAAGTCAATGGTGGGAGTCATCCAAAGCTGAGGCTTCCTTGGTAGGGTACAATTGTTGATATGATAATGGGGCCAGAGACTCAAGAGAAGAAAACAGTGTAGAGTTGAACTGATTCACCAAGGGCTCAAAGTGTGGAAGAAAGGAGAGTGCCTAGTGCAGGGGAGGTGGCCTGGGAAAGAACTGAGGGGTTGAGGGATTGGAGGTCATAGTGTGGAAAAGGACTAGGGTTTGGTAAGGGAAGGCAGATGGAGAGGCAGAAAGCCATCAGATTATTGTCAGATAAGGAGATTTCAGAATTCTTGAATATGAAGGTGGTGCATTTGTGGATGATGGCAAGATCAAGAATAAGATCAACCATGTGTGCAACTGAGGTAAGGTGGAGGAGTACGTCATGGGAAGTGAGTTGACTGAAGAACTGGGTGGTTGGGTTGTTTGAGGGAGAATCAATACATATGTTGGAGTCCCCTAGTAAGACAGCAGGAATTAAAGAGGAGAAAAAAATTGTGAGCCAGGTACCAGACTCTTTTAGAGAGGAAGGAGAGTAACCTGGACATCTGTTGACAACATCTACCTGGATTTTGAGAGTGGTAGATTTGAATAACATGGACCTTAAAGGAGGTATGATAGAGGTAGGGGGAGAACCTGAAAGTTGCAATGGGGAACAAGGAATATTCCAACTCCCCTACCTTGACTAGTGAACTGAGGGGCATAAACAAAGGCGCAACTAGTACTAGAAAGGTGGCCGGGGAGGCTGTGTCATCAGGAGGAAACCATGTTTCAGTGATTACTAGTTGTTGAAAGGCATGAGAAAGGAAAAGTTTTAGGATGAAGGAATTTTGTTGATTATGGAACAGGCATTCCAGAGGGCACAGTAGAAGGGGTGGGTGGTGTTTGGTTGGGATTTTGGGGTAGCAGGGTTGAGGGTAATGAGAAATTGGGGTTCAGCATCATTGGTATATGTAGATCTAACCAGATGAGAGAATGTTCATCAACTGAGGGGAAGGAAACACTTTTCTTTACATAGGAGGCTAGAGATCAGGCAGGAGACAAGAACAACATGAAACAGAATGCACTTGGTCAGATGGTCAAATGGGAGGCCTTATTTCACCACTCGTCTTCACTCCAAAGGCTGGGATTCCATTGTATTTATTGTCTGTATCATCTATACCAGGATTTAATCATAACACTTTTATACTGTTATTTAAATGGTTCACACCCACACATACACATATATATGTAAAACATATGTATATATGCATAAAATATGTGTGTATGTACACATACATAAAGTTGGGTAACATATAAATTCTTTGACAGAAGGAGCCATTTCTCATTCTTTTCATCATTTAAAGCACCTTCCATAGTTCAATGTACATAGGAGGTGCTTAGTAGATAGTTAGCAAAGCAAAACTGTGCTTTTTTTTTTTAATTGTGACAAAGAATTAGAAACTGAAAGGGGAGTCTATTAATTGGGAAATGACTGAACAAGTTGTGGTTTATGTTTGTGATGGAATGCTATTGTGCTATAAGAAATGATGAAGGGATGGTTTTGGAAAAACCTGAGAAGACCTTTTTTTTTTTTTTGCGAGGCAATTGAGTTTAAGTGGCTTGCCTAGGGTCACATAGCTAGTGTCAAGTGTTTAATTTGAACTCAGGTCCTCCTGACTCCAGGTCCAATGCTCTATCCATTGCGCCGCCTAGCCACCCCATCTGAGAAGACAGCATTGTAAAGACAAATAACTTTTAAAGATTTAGGAACTCTGAACAATACAATGAAACCAGTCTCAGTTCCAGCGGACTCATAATGAAGCATACTACCTACTTCCAGATAGAGACAGAATGGATTTAGAGTGCAGATTGAAAATTTTTTTTGGATATGGTTCATGCAGGAATTTGTTTTGTTTGCCTATACATATTTGTAATGGTTTTTGTTTTTGCTTTTTCAATGGTTAGGGGAGAGAAAGGTTGGAGGGAGAAAATCTGAAACTCAAAATAAAATAAAACTGAATTTTTAAAAAAGTAAAGCTGTGGGAAGAGAATACAATTTGAGTGTGTGTGTGTGTTCACTAAACAAACTTGGTTCATGAAGGTCCATTTTGAAAAATACTTATTTAATATAAATAAAGTCCATATTATAAACATTGCACTAAGACTTACGATCATCATTGCCTCCTCTGGCTGTTCCATCTCTCAATCCATGTATGGCAGAAAGTCTATGTCTTCTGTGTTGACAAGTTCCAAAATATTTGGAGTATAGGAATCCAGTGGTTTATTGCCATCCTGAGTAAAAAAACAAATGAATTTAGAACTGATTTTTATAATAAAGCTTTCATGATTTCATAGTCAGAGCACAGAAGACAATAAGTCCTAAATTGGGAACATTCCTAGAATTAGAGGATGAAGTCAATAAACGTTACCTTCTAAAACTGAAGCTAATCAAAATAAATCCATGAGATTAATCAGCTGCAAAAGCAGATGAGCTATTTACATGACTGAAATGAATGAAACACCCATTGAGAGGTTTTCTCTGAACCAATGAATGGCTTTGTTGGAACTTCTGCTTTTTAAAAAAAGAGTTGTAGCAGGGGGCAGCTAGGTGGTACAGTGGATAGAGCACCAGCCCTGGATTCAGGAGGACCTGAGTTCAAATCTGGCCTCAGACACATACCACTTACTAGCTGTGTGACCCTGGGCAAGTCACTTAACCCCATTGCCTATCCAAAAAACAAAAACAAAAACAAAAAAGAGCTGAAGCAGAACAGCCTCTGGAATTTAAATTAAAAGTACAATAGCAGTAAGTCTACAAGTGCTTATTAACCTCCTATAATGTGCCAGACACTGTGCTAAGTGTTGGGGACACAAAGAAAAAGTAAAATCAGCTGCTCTCAAGGAGCTCACGGTCTAATTGGGAGAGAACATGTAAACGACTGTGTACAGGAGAAACTGGTGATAATAAACAGAGGGAAGGCACTAGCATTAAGGAGGATCAGGACAGATTTCTTTTAGAAAGTAGTATTTTATCTGAGACTTGCAGAAAGTCAGAGAAGCTTGGAGTCAGAAATGAGAAAGGGGAGAGTTCCAGGCATGGAAGACAGCCAGTGAAAATGCCCAGAGTTGGGACACAGAGTATCTTTTTCAAGGACAGCAAGGGAGATAGTATCACTGGATTTATGTAGGAGGTGGGGATATAAGAAGTAAGAAGACTGGAAAAGTAGGAAGGGGCCAGGTTATGGAGGGCTTTAAAAGCCAAACAGAGAATTTATATTTGATCCTGGAGACAATAGGGAGACACTGAAGTTGATTGAAAAGGAGGTGACATGGTTCCACTTGAGCTTGAAGAAGATCAATTTGATAGCTGAGTGGAGAATGGACTGGAATAGGGGAGAAACGTGAGGCAAGGAGACCAATCAGGGCATGACTGCAATAGTCCTGGTGTGAGGTAATAAGGGTGTTCCCAGGGTGGTGGCAATGCCAGAGGAGGGAAGTGGATGTAATTGAGAGAGGTTGGGAAGATGGAGACAACAGGATCTATCAACTAATTAGATAAGGGAGGCAAGAGAGTGAGGAGTTAAGGTTGACGCCTAGGCTTTGAGTACGGTAGTACTCTCCACAGTGATGGAGAAGTTAGTAAGAGGGGAGGGTTGAGGGGGAAAGATAATGAGTTCAGCTTTGGACATGTTGAGTTTAAAATGTCTATGTGACATCTTAATTTCTAATAGGCAGTTGGAGATGTGGGACAGGGGTGAGGAAAGAGGTTAGGACCAGACAAATAAATTGGAGACTCATTTGCATAGAAATGACAGTTGAAACCAAGGGAACTGATGAGATAAAAAATTGAAAAAGTAGAGGGAAAAGAAAAAAGTGCCCAGGCTAGAGCCTTAGTAGACATTCATGATTAATGGGCAAGACCTGCATGAAGATCCAGCAAAGGAGACTAAGAAGGAGTGGTTAGACAGGTACAAGGAGAAGCAGAAGTGTTAAGGTAAAGAGGGTGATCAAAGAAACTACCCTGCTTATTGTGAAGAAGAGGGAGCACCTCAGTGGAGACTGCAGTTCAAGAAGCTAGAAGCAAACAGGAACTGCACAGCCTCACGACCAGTGAAGTTGTGCCTGACCGTCATCATGAGATCAGTAGGCTACTATCAATGCATTGGCTTTGTGAGACCAAAAGAGAGCTGCCCCAAGCAGGGCTTACACACTTTCTATGTAGAACAGAACTACCAAAAAGAATACACTGGTAGCCCTACAGCTCCATAGGTATGAGTTGTCTCTACACTTGGACTATGACCACACATCTTCTCCATGTATGTGCTGGCCACATGTGTTCCACATTTCCCACTAGTGTTGGAATTTGACGGGAAATATGTCCTAGTTTTGTGGAGGAATTGTTTTATTAGAGGGCAGATAGGTGACACAGTAGATAAAGCACCAAAGGGCCTGGAGTTGGGAAGATCTGAATTCAAATCCAGCCTTAGACACTTATTACCTGTATGTCCCCGGGCAAGTCACTTAACTGCTGCCTACCTCATATTCCTCATTTATAAAATGGGGAGAATAACAACACCTGCCTCCCAGGACTGTTGTGAAGATCAAATGAAATAATAATTGTACAGTGTTTAGCACAGTGCCTGACAAGTAATGAGCTAACATATAAATGTTAGCTATTACTTTTATTATCATCATCGTTGTTGTTGGTGTTGCTATTTTTCTTACTATGCTATTTCATTAAATGCTGGTGCCTTGAATTAATTGTGTCCTCTGGTTAACTAGTAAATATAAACGTACCAATGATGGCTTGTGAGCTAAGGTCTTGAGTGAGTTAACTTGGGGTCTGGGGGATTTACTGTGTGATTTGATGAGTGCCCCCCAGGTGTTATAGGTGTTAGGGATGCAAAGATTAAGAAGATAAATTAAATTTCCCTGCTCTCAAGGTGTTTATATTTGACTGTTGATAAAGAAAACTAAAATCTATTCAATTGTATTATAACATATCCAAGAAATGTTATTATTGCAAGTTGGAGTCTAGAAAAAGTAGTGCCAAAGAGTAAGATTTTGTCATTGTTTACCCAGGAAAAGTGGAGAAGAAAATGGCAAACCACTCCAGTACCTCTGCCAAGTAAACCCCAAATGGGGTCACAAAGAGTCATGTGAGACTGAAAAACAACTGAGCAATCTAGGAAAGAGGGTTGTCTTATTTTGGACTACCCATATCAATTCTTCAGACAAGAATATCCTCAGAGTAAATTTAGCAGAATCTAAGTTTTGCAATTAGTAGGAACTTAAATATTTATTGAATTCTAATCAAGGTACCCTATTTTTATGGAAAAGTACAGGAGTCAAGTACAGGATGGTTTACCTTGCATTGGTTCAGCTACCACAAAATTACCGTCCTTCAAGAATCAATACCTATTACCCAGCAGGTAATATTAATTCTGCCATCAAGGTGGTATTCTTCAGATACTGACTGTTATCTCATCAGACCAAAACATTCTAAGTACGATATGGGCTCAAAGGCAGTACTTTAGACAACCTCCCAAAGCTGAGGCAGCCAGATAGGCAAAGACAATAATTAACAATAAGATGAGACTTCTTGGTGGTCTTTATAATTGCCCACCATCATAGGAATGTGCAGGCATATTTCACAAGGCTCTGTTGATAGACACCTATCACTGACCACTGGAGCCATGGTCAAGAGATCAGCCTCAATCCTCAGGTCCATTAACTTCCTCAATAAGGGAGAAAAATATTTGCATTACCTCTTTCAAAAGATTATGTTGAAGAAAGCACTTTGGAAGGTGGAAAACACTATGGGAATATGAGATGTCATAATTACTATTAATAAAATAATAGTTATATAATTATTAATATATAATATATATAATATATATAATATAAATCCATGCTTTATAATATCCTTGAAGATACCTGCTTTGTAGCAAAATGTCACTTAATTTTTCCGCTTTACCACATAATTAAAGTTCATGATAAATTTAATAACTATGATTTAATAGCCCTAAGTTTTGATTATTTTCTTATCTAAGGCAATTAAAATAATTTAATTACCTATTAACAATAATACTTACCCTTTTTTCAACTGCCACAAAACTTGTAAATTGTGTTATAATAGAGTTCTCCTTGCTGAGTTTAATAATCAGAGACTTCAAAACTTGCTTCTTCATCTAGGTTGGAACATTTTAAATGGACAGCAATATCATACCAAACAGATGTATTTTATATTCAAGGTACATAGATACTAAAATCATACAGACACATACACTATGTTTCATTTCAATTCTGGTTTTTATCACTCCTTAAACAGAAATTGTAGAAAACTCTGTTTTCCCTTTAGATAAAGAAGTATGATCCTATGTTCAGAGAGAACACTGGACTTGGAATCAGATGATGTGGGTTCAAGCTTTGGCTTTTCCACATTCTTCAATATGTCGCTTAATCTCTCTTAGCTTCAGTTTCCTCATCTATAAAATGGGTGCAATGCTACTGGCTTTTTATTTACTTCACAAAGTTGCTATGAAAATTAAATAAGAATATATGTGAAAATGTTTTTTAAACTGTAAATACTCCTCAAATGTAAGATTTTATTATTGTTATCTATGATTCTAAGCAAAACATCCAGGCAAAAGTTTTCTTCTACATTTTTCACTTTCACAAGGTAGATGACTCCATGTCACACACATAAGACACCATTAACTGATCTGATGAATCATATTCAAAGGAACAGCAAAGACTTTGATAAAAATCAAATAAGGAAAACTGCCTAATCCAAGAACAATACCAGAAAATCTTGAAAATAATTTGTCAGTTTATCAATCCAAAAGTCTGATAATTTATTGTTATATTAATTTAGGATCATCCTCTTAAAAGCAACCATTGCCTACCCATAGTATTGGGCTTTAGATAGCGTTTATTCTATGTTAACATCTATGAAGTCAAGAAATCTATTATAAGCTTTCACCTTTGGAAAGCAGTTACAGATCTGTAGCTTCACAAATTCAAGAGGGAAATCTCTCTACAATAATAAAAATCTTTCATCAGATATTTTATAGGATCATAGGCCTAGAGCTTGAAAGGACTTTCTTTTTTTTTCTTTTATTTTTTTTGAAAGGATTTTGAAGATGATCTTGTCCAACCCTCTCATCCTACAGGTAAGGAAAGCAAAACCCAGAGAGCTTAGATGGCTCATCCAAGATCATGTAAATAAGAAATGGGATTTGAAATCATGTTTTAAGACCCTCATTTAAGAGCTCCTTCAAGTCCACTTCTCTTTCCACTGGAGCCTAATATTACATTTGCTCTTGCTGTTACCCTAATTTTCAGGACTAGAAATCTCTTTTGGTTTTCCTTTTAAATGAAAATGTAATTGAAGAAAATAAAATGGGACTTTCTCTCTAAAAGAAATAAAAAGAGATGAAGCTATTCTTCATCATGTTGTTGCTGCCATTCTAGGATGAGATTATCTCTAAAGTTCCTTCCAGCTCTAAATTCTATGATTCTACAATCCTCTTTAAGATAAATTCCTTTCACCCTAAAAAATAGATTAATGTCTTTATCTAGATTACCTAACTTCACATGTTGTGGGTTACATCAGTTTAAGGAAGATTTTCTAAAATTCAAAGCATATTTTCCATAGAAAGAACAAACCTCATGTTTCGTTTCATCCTCATGGAGAATTCCATCTTCATAATCTCTAATGATAGCTCTAGCTGTTAGCTTGTGAAACATCTACATTTCAGGGGTAAAAGAAAACAATTGTAACTTTTCTTTGATTCCCATTTCACCTTCTTGAATCTTTTAGAAGTCATTAATTTCCGTAGTTCCCTAATGTGATTATCTTTTTTTATAAGCAAGTAGCAGGTTTGTCCCTATGACACCCACCCAATGCTAGGAGGATGTCTGCACAAATGTTCTCTGAGGAAAGAGAAAGTATTGTAACCTAAAGATTTTTCTCCTCTCTCATAAAAAGAATTGACCTTAGGAAATGACTTAGATGACCCTTAGTATCTGTTTATGTTTTGTTTTCAAACTAATACTCCACTTTTACTGTTTATTTATATTTTCCAAATTAAAATTTATTTTTAATGATAAAAAATCTGCCTTATCTCCTCTCATCTACACCCCTCCAAACTGAGAAAGAAAGAAAAACAAATCCCCAGTTATAAACATGAATAGTCAAACAAAACAAATTCCTGTATTAGTCAAGCAAAAAAAAAATCTATGCTCTGAGTTCATCATCTCTCTATCATGAGGTAGTTAATATTTCACAATGGATCTTCAGAAATCATGACTCTTTAGGTCCTAAGTCTTTCAAAATTGTTTTTTCAATAGTGTTGTCATTGTGTACAACATTCTCGTGGTTCTGCTCACTTCATTCTGCATTGGTTCACACAAACCTTCCTAGGTTTCTCTGAAATCATCCCCTTCAACATTTCTCATAGCACAAAAATATTCCATCATCATTATAAACCATAACATCCTCAGCCATTCCCAAATTGGTGGATACACCTTCAATTTCTGGTTCTTTACCACCACCAAAATATAACTATTTTTTTAAATATCTTTAGAGTTTGTTTTGTTTTGGATTACTCCCTCCCTTAAACTTACAGTCCCCCCACCTGTTCCCCTCCTAGTTGTCTCTCTTTTCCCTTCTGTTTTCCTGTTGAATGAAATATATTCCTATACATAACTCCTGTGTGTGTATATGTGTGTTTTACTTCTTTTGATCTATTCAGATGAGAAGGAAGTTTAAGTATTAATCACTCTCCTCAACCCTTCCTCATTGTTCACATAGACTTCGATTTCTGCAACCCTATTATTTAAGATAATTTCCCCCATTCTTCCCCTTTCTTCCTCCTGCCTGCATATTCCTCTTCACCTCATTTTCCGTTCTCCTTTTAAGGTTGCCAAAATATAAGAGAACCATCCCCAGGTGCTCTATCTAATTAGAATCCTTCTATGACCTTTGATGGGCAATTAGGTGGTACAGTGGATAAAGCACTGGGCCTGCAGTCAGAAAGACCTGAGTTCCACTCTGGCCTCATACACTTACTAGCTGTGTGACATTGGACAAGTCACTTAACCCTGTTTGCCTCAGTTCCTCATCTGTAAAATGAGCTGGAGAAAGAAATGGAAAACTATTCCAATATTTTTACCACGAAAACCCCAAAAGGGGTCATGAAGAGTTGGGACTGAAACAACTGAACACCAACAATAAAATGATGTTTAGTGATAACAGCAGTCTTAGAGGCCATGTGTATCATCTCCCTGTATTAGAATACAAACAGCTGATCCTTTTGTAGTCCCTTATTATTTCTCAGGCACGTTTACCTTTTTGTCTCTCTCTTGACTCCTTGTGTTTGCACTTCAAATTCTCTATAGAGCTCTAGTCTTTTCATCAGTAATGCCTGGAAATTCTTTATTTCATTAAAATTCCATTTTTTTTCTCCTGCTGAATTATACTCAGGTTTGCTGGATAGGTTATTCTTGATTGTAAGGCTATGTTCGCTGTCATATGTAATACTGTATTCTAAGCTCTACGTTACTTTATAGTGGTAACTGCTAAAATGTGTGTGATTTCAGACTGTGGCTCCAAGGTATGTGAATTCTTTCTTTCTGGCTGCTTGGCTTTGATGTTTCTGGGAGTTTTCATTTTGTTTTTTGTTTGTTTTTTTTCCCCAGAAAGTGACCTGTAGATTTTTTCTACTTCTACTTTGCCCTTTAGTTCTAAGACATCTGGGTAAGTTTTCTTTTATGATTGCTCAAAATATAATGTCTAGACTACTTTTTTGTTCTTGGCTTTCAGGTAGTCCAATGATTCTTAAATGATCTCTCCTCAGTCTGTTTTCCAGGTGAGCTGTTTTTGCTATGAGATACATATCTTACATTTTCTTCAATTTTCAGTCTTGACTGTTTTAATATTTCTTATTGCTTCATGGATTCATTAACTTCTATGTGGTTCATTATAATTTTCAGAGAATTTGTTGCTTCAGCAAAGTTTTCTATTTCTGCTCTCAAGCCATCAATTCCCTTTTCCATTCTTTCTTCCATAACTCTCATTTCTTTTCTAATTTTCCTCTAGTTCTCTTATTTAATTTATAAAAAAAAATTAAAGTATTAAAAACCTCTTGCTTCATTGCTTGCAGGAATTCTAATTGAATTTCTCCCACATCAAATTTTTCTTTGAAGCTTTGCTTGTAAATATTTTAGAGGCATTCTCTTCTGAGTTTGCATATTGAACATCAGTGTCACTGTAATTAATAGACTTTTATGATGAGTGGTTTTTTTTGCTCAAATTTTTCACCCTACTTCCTGACTGTGGATTTTATGTTAAGTCAGGCTCTGTGCCCTTCCGGGAAGAATTTCTGGGCTGCTCTTGCTGCTGCTTTCTTGAGGTACTAAGTTATTCTGAGGACAGATCATGCTGGGGAACTGCAAGCTTTCAGTGCTCCCAGAGTGGTCTAACTCAAGGCAAAGTCTAATTTCTGCCCTCCTGGTCTCAGCTGTACAAGTCCTGACTTTGGTTTTGGTCTGAGCAAACACAACTGTGGTTTTACCCCAACTGGAGTTCTAGTAGACTACTATCAGATTCTGCCACTATCAACCAGCTGAAAACTCTGCTGGTTCATAGTGAAAGAAGTGAATGCTTTTCTTTGGTCTTGGATTCTTGCCCTGGTTATTCAGTTGCAAGCTTAAGTCTGGGCTGGAAGTTAGAACTGAGACTCTGTTCTCTTCTTTCCCTAGGGTCAAAACCACACAGCTGCAGCTTGCTTCTGAAATTTGCTTTCTGTTTGGTACATAACACATGTAACTTCTTCTCACCCACGAATGCCATCCTTAAGGCATAGGTTTCTTTCTCAGTTAGTCCTAGATCTATGACCCAGGACTAGATAGTGAGCAATAAAGTTGTCAGTTATTATCTCTTCCTGTACCCTTCACAAGAATGGACTTCTCTTTGCTGGATTTGGAACTTTCTATTGCCCTGGGGCATAGCATCTCTGTGCTGGAGTTATCTGTGCGGCTATTCCTGGGTAGACCCCCATCACTAAGTGTCTGCAGACTTCTTTATCTATCTCTCTATGCTGACTTAGGCTGGAAAAAAGGACTCACTATCATTTTTCTTGGATTTTCCAATCAGAACTCAGTCTGATGCATTTCCTAGATTTGTTTGGAGATACTGTGTGGGCTTGGAGGTGGGAGGAGCTAAGCTATACTGCTTCCTGATATTCCACCTCCTCTAGAATCTGCTTTCAATAAAATTTCAACTCTTCTACCCTCTTAATACCATGGTAGTTAAAAAAAAAGTTTAGTTGTATAAATGAGGTTTTTACTTACCAAAAACAAATAATTCCTATATTACATAGTTTATTCATAAATATAAAGAAGGTTGTTTAATGCATTTTATGAGGCAAATATAGTGTCAATTTTAAAACCAGATTAAAGATAACACTAAAAAAGAAAATAAAGATCAATTTCTCTAATAAATATACAAAATACTCAATAAAATATTAGCATAATACAGCAACATATTAAGAAAATTATTTATCATGATCAAGTAGGTTTTATACCAGGCAAATAATCTAATGTCTCTGTGCTTCAGTCAGATGATAACAACACTACTTTTGTCAGTCAAGCACTTTAAAAACCTTGAAGCACAACATAAAGGTGAATCTTTCTTATACTATACTGAACAAAATTTAATTTTGATTAATTAATAAAGCTTGTAAATTAATAATAGAGACAAAATGGATATGAATTTTACCTAAATAGGTAAATAAAATATGTAGGTTACTCAATATACTACTGTTCAACTAAATGTTTATGGGTGTGGAAAAGTGAGCTCATATGTCCAGACAATTACTTCTCTGAGTGAGATACTTAGACTTTTAATATGAAACTGAAATAAAAATATTAAGTACATACTATATATAAAATGACTAAGCATATGTTTATTAAAATATAAAATTATGAAAATTGATTATTATCACAGGCATATATATGAAATCTTGAATCTTACAGTTCCAGTTGTTTTCTGTAGTTCAGTAGTTGATACCATTGTGTGAAATTCTCTTTCTTGAAACAAAGCATTTAGGATGGCCTGAAGGACATTAAAAAAAGAGGTATCACATTTAAAGCCTCTTAGCCTCTGATACCTTTAGCAGTGATTATCCCAGTGATTAACAATTAACAATCAAAAAGCACTCTCCCTTAGTTGGAAAATGTATCCACCAAAGAGGCGAGTTTTAAAACAAGCCAGGGATTAGTTGGCTAAATATTCAAACACCCAACCTGTGCTTCTTTGGACCACTCCTTACCTGTGTACAATGAGGAACGAATCCATACACAAGCAATCTATCATTGCTGAATAAGGCCTGGATTTGTGTAGGAGCCTGCATGGGCTCTGGTGAATTTAGATTCAGTTGTTGCCATTTAATAGACACGGAGCTGCATCCTGGAGAAAATATTCTTGTCATCTGGTCTTCAATCTATTTACAAAGGAAAAAAAGGTGGATTAGGTCTTAATTTTACTCCATTAAAAAGAGCTTTCATGCTAATTTAACAAATTTATATTTTCATGATTTTACACTTTTTTCTTTCTTGTTCTATACAGAAGGTCAATTATTATTCTCTTTGTATACATGAGAAAACTGGGGCTCAGAAGTTAAATGACTTGTCCAAGGTCACACAGCTAGTGAGTGTCTCAGGTGGGATTCAAGTGGAGGTCTTCCTAGCTCCACATATAGTATTCTTGGTTGTCGTTCTTTGTTCTTGAAGAGGACCAAAATGACATCACTACACTAGAGTCAAGTTATAATGCACCCGACTGTGGCTGATCAGACCAATATGAGCTCGGAATTTTCCAACACAGGTCAGGCACAAATAGTCCATGTGAATATTTGGGGTGGATTCTCTAAATTTGCACATCTTGTGTTTCTTTTGAGCTGCTTCAATTTTGCTTTGCTCCTAGAGCACAGCACCTTCTCTGATGTGAGCATGCCTTGCTGAGTGGTCCTGTGCCAGTGTCTCCCATGTAAACAATCAATTCCAAAGTTCTTAAGAGAGACCTTGAAAATGTACTTGTATCACTTTTTCTGACCACTGTGTGAATGTTTGCTATGTGTGAGTTCTCCATAAAATAGTCTTTTTGGCAAGCATACATTTTGCATTTGAACAACATGGCCAGCCCATTGGAGCTGCACTCTCTGCAGTAGAGTTTGAATGCTTGGCAGTTTAGTTTGAGAAAGGACCTCAGTGTCTAGTATCTTATCCTGCCAAGTGATCTTCAGAATCTTCCTAAGACAATTCAAATGGAAGCCGTTCAGTTTCTTGGCATGGCGCTGGTATACTGTCCAGGTTTCGCAAGCATACAACAATGAGGTCAGCACAATAACTCTGTAGACTTTCAGTTTGGTAGTCAGTTTAATACCTCTTCTCTCCTGCACTTTCCTTCAGAGCCTCCCAAATACTGAGCTGGCTCTGGCAATGTGTGTGTCAACCTCATTATCAATGTGTACATGCCTGGAAAGTATACTACCAAGCTAAGTGAACTTATCGACAGCATTCAAAACTTCTCCATTTTCTGTAACAACAGTATTCTATTCACCACATTAAGATGGCTCTGAATTGTGTTAGAATCCATACATTCAAATGAATGCTGTCTTGCAAAGCCTCTTCTTGGGAAACTACATTTATTCCAACAATGCTACCATAACTTGAACTCATTGGGGGTTACTCTTTGAGCAGCCTCAGAACCAGTTTATAAGCCATGAAAAAGTCACTCTAATTGCTTTAGAGTCACATTCCATTTGTTACCCCAAAGAGAAGTGGCTTTGGATGACTTTTGTTTAAAAATTACCAGTCTCTATCATGTTAGAAACCTTGGTGTTATTTTTCTATTCCCAATCCCTCAACTCTCATAAGCCAATCATTTATCAATTCTTATTAATTCCATCTCTGAAAGATCTCTGAAATCCATTCCTTTTTTCTCTATTTCCACAGCCATCATCCTAGTACAGGTTCCCATTACCAGCCCCCTGGATATTACAAGAGCTTCTTAACTTCCCATCTCTACTTTCTGTCTCTGATAATCTGTCACACTGCTGCCAGAGTTATCTTCCTTACATAGATCTAATCATGTTACACATCTGTGCAAGAATTAGATTGGTTTCCTCTTGCCTAGTAAGTAGTTAAACTCCTCTGCTTGTCATTCAGAGGCTCCACATGTGGCCCTATCTCTTACCCTTTCAGCCTTATCTAATACAGCTCTCTCCTGTACTCTATGTCCCAGTCATACTAGAGCACTTGCTGACCTCCATACATGGCCCACAGTTGCCCATTTCTCTACTCTGTGCCATGGCTCACACTGTTCCCTATGCCTAGGTTGCCCCACCAACAACAAGACTGGGAATTTCTACCTAATCTTTATAGCCCAATTCAAAAGCTTGCTTTCTCCAGGAAGCCTTCCCTGATTCCCTAAGTTAGTAACTAGCTACCCCGCCCCGCCTTCAGACCTGCATAGCACTTTGTACCTCTCACTGATTTAGAGATTGTCTTACAGTTACTTTTTTATGTGTCATAGTCTCTGTTCCTTTCTCTCTATTCATTTCATATTCTATTCTATTCTATTCTATTCTATTCTATTCTATTCTATTCTATTCTATTCTATTCTATTCTATTCTATTCTATTCTATTCATTTTTATGTGTCATAGTCCCTGTTCCCTTTTCTCTATTCATTTCATAGCTACTCTCGTTCACGGCTTGAACGAGAGTAGCTATGAAATGAAGAGAGAGAAGGGAACAGATGTGAGAAATGTTGAGGAGGTGGGATTGGATATGGGAAGCAAGTAAGAGGGAGGAGTAAAGGGTGACTCAGGTTGTAAACCTGGATTACTAGAAGAATCCTGGTCTCTTTGACAGAGACAGGGAAATTAGGAGGAGGGGTGGGTATGAATGAAGGGAATGAATGAAGTTTGAGAAGTCCAGCTGTCATTGGATGTTGGTTGAATAAGGACCAACATAGTTAAGTGTAGAGAGGCTCATCAATAGAAGGTTAGTTAACAACTGATGATTTTTTTGGTCTTTTTTTTTTTTCTGGTAACTCAGGATGACTATCTGCCAAAGAGGTGAGAGATTGTGATCTGTGTCAATGGAGAGAATTCTTATACCAAAGAAGTCAGGGATCGATAAAGGATTGAAGTTATAACTCCTTTCTTCCCACTAGACTGTAGGAGCTATAAGGCCAAGGATCAGGGCTTATCTAAACTTTATATCTCTTCCAAGTCTTAGCACTTAATAAATTAACCTATACAGAACAGTTAATTAATATATGTTTATAGAATTGAATGGAACCTTTAGAATAATATCAGAAAACAAAGTTAAGAGTGACAGATTTTGAATGAATGACATTTGTGGGCATTTTTTATTTAGTCAAGGACTAAAATGAAGTGATTTACTATGATTGTATAGATACTAGAACCCAGAGATCAATTTCACTGACTGTTGCATAAGATTTAAAAACACACATAATTAATGTTTATGATATTTCACATTCTCATAGGCATATCTGTGAAAAGGTGAAGAAACTTACCTGTTTTTTCCAATTATATTTAGATTTCATATTAAAGTACTCAAATGCTCCAGCACCATACTGGGACAAAGCCCTCAGGATATGACGATTTGCCATGGACCTGGTCAAATTTTAAAGGCTTAGTTTCAAGATTTATGAAAATAATTTTAAAGATCTTTACAATGAGGCATGTCAAAGCTCAAAATGTCAACAAAAGAAAGCACATGGCATCAACAGATGGTGCCATGCCCCCCTGGGTGGTTTTGGGATTTGTAATCCAAAGGAAATAAAACAAGCCATATTAGGGAGAACATACCTAAATTCCTTAGACTTAATGGATTTGTGCTGATCTTTCTCAACAAAGCAATTGGAAAGTGGTGATAACAGATGGTCTTTCAGATCATACTTCTCTCTAAATAGGGACCAATCTCTTTTCAACCAGAAGTACGGGTAGGGAATGAAATGATAGTTACCTCTTACACCTACTCCCAAACAATGCCTGTGCCTAACCCAAATACCAAGGGAAAACAAACACCTTCTCCTTCCCTTAGCTTCCGTAACCCTCTTCTTCTCCAGCCTATCTGACTCCTTCTTAATCTTTTTTGGCTGATTTGCGTCCATTCTATGCCTCCTAATCAAAGAACTCCTCTTCTTTCTATAGTCTTTCCTTTGGGTATTTCCTCATCTCTCACTGATTCCTTCACCTTTTGGAAGTCATCTTTGTAACCCATCTATTCAGTCACAATTCCCTAAATTCCAGTCCTGTGTCACCAAATGCCTGTTGGCCACTCACCCCTATATTTCCCATTTACATAATGATTTTTCTTGCACTTACCCAATGCCACATGTAAATAAGCGGGTATGTCTAACATTTCTTTTTACAATCTGCAATGTCAGGCTCTCATTCTGAATATGCCCATCAGATAGAAGAAGTATGTTTCGCATCCCTTGAGAAGGGTAAAGTAAATTTAAAAAGCGCAGGGTTTTCCAGAAGTCAGTATTTCCCATAGTAGGTGTAGCAGACTGGAAAAAATTAAAAGAAAGTGGGTTTTATTCACATTTTGTAAACTTGCTATTAAATATTTCTTCTTTTGAGGTACTTGCTTTTTTAGAGAGGGGCCCCCTTATTTTTTTGATACTTACTTTTAAAAAAATGACATATTTGCTACTGTACCTGGGAAGAACAGCTAAACTAATATCATTCCACTTCTGCACTATGAACTTATAAAAAGAGAATTCTCATATTTCCTTTTAGATAACTAGAAAATACAAGTATTCTCTTTAAGTGCCTAAATTAAGTGAGAATGTGTCCTTCTGTTGCTGTTTGTTTTTAATAGGTCATTATACACTTAACTTTAAAGGTCCACAAAGCCAATTAAACTTACATTTACCACTAATTAAACTTTTTAATACAATATACCAATGTAAATTTACCTTTCCTCCCCAACTTATAAATTGTCCATTAATATCCTCTACAGATAGTACTTTTTAAAGACAAAATGAAAGAGCTGCTATCAAATGCTATTTTTACTTGCACTGTGGTTGCTCTTAATTAGTGGTTGAAATCTTATTTTAGAGTGAGAAAATAGGAAAAAGCAATTTTCCCTGAATAAAAGTAACAAGAGCTCTTTGTGGCTGCTCGTCTCAAATTGCATATCATACATTAGACTCTTTACAGACCAACTGTTCAGGCCCCTTGTTTAACTGGTTTACCTCCCCATCTGTGATTGACTCTCTGTAAAAATTATCTCCTCCCTTAAGTTGCCTCTTTACCAAAGATTACCAAAGTCAACCTTCCTGCCTACATATCTGTGACTTTATCACCTTTTCCTCCTTCCTACTTCTGGTCGCAATACTTTTTCCAGACTGGAAAAATCAGCATCAAAAATACAAAAGCTACAATAAATAAATGGGATAGTAGCAGGCAATATGACAAAAACACTGATATATACCCAGGGCCCCAGAGGCAGAAAAGTGCTAAATCCTGGGAATGTCATTGAAATTTCATAGGCAAAGACTCAGGAGATTAAGAAAGAGTGTTTTACTTACCATAATGAACTCTGTCAGTTAAGGATTGCTTGTGGAGTACTTAGGATATGCGAATAATTCAGTATAACCTGTACAATGAAATTTGTTTGAAACGCCTGTTAAATATTTATTCCAGTAACTTCTAACACAGCATCATTATATGGTTTTATTCCTGTCATTTAAAAATGCCTTACATATTTGTTTATATACATTTATTTGGTTGGGCCTCATTTTTAGGAAACTGTGATATATAAAAATCTTAATTTGTAATTTTGACAGGGGACTGATCGATGAGGGCCAGTCCTAGGTGCATACACAGGAGACTTATGGATGTTTGGTGAACCCATTTCTAGAAGTTCATGATGATGTGGGACGAAGGTGTGCAGGTCTTCATGAAGCATTGGCAAATGCTTATTCTGTGACTGTTTCCTGCCCACTCACAGCATAGTGGAGAATGACCTTTTGATCTGGGGCTGAGCAGGAACTGAGAGTTCATACAAAAGGCCCTAACACAAAAAATAATTTTTCCTTCCCACTGGCCCTGAGACATAAGGAGGTCTCTGATGTCTGGACAACCACTGGTGGGGGGTGTCCTTTTTCCTCTCTTACCAGGCTAGCTGCTGAGTGTATGGCCTCTAAAGTAGGTCTATTATCAGGGATGGGACTGCCTCCTGCTTATATTTTCTATCCCTTGGTATGGGACTTTAAAAATTTTTTTTTTTATTTTTGGCTAGGCAATGGGGTTAAGTGACTTGCCCAGGGTCACACAGCTAGTAAGTGGTATGTGTCTGAGGCCAGATTTGAACTCAGGTCCTCCTGAATCCAGGGTCGGTGCTCTATCCATTGTGCCACCTAGGTGCCCCTGGTATGGGACTTTTTGAGACATCACCAGTACTGTGCCTACCCTACCACAAACGCTGAGAGCACCCTTTGGAAAAAAAAGAAGGGATTCAGAGGTTCTGTGGCTTCATCCTTGTGAGGTGCCTTGGTCACATATGTTTCCTACACATGTGCCTCTTTGTGACTGTGTTTTAAATTCATGCCCACTCTTTTCCCCTTCTCCCCAGACTCCGGATATATGTGTGGGATAATGTGCCCCTGGTATTAGGGGAAATGCTTTGTAGTTATTGTCCTTGTTACATCATTTCACTAAAGAACTGAGTTTGCTGACTGATTATTAAGGGAGAGACCCACCAGTGGAGGCACTTGTGAGTCAGCGTTAGGAAGCTAACCGTCCACAGGGTTCCTTCTAGAACCCTAAAGTACTAGCATCCAACCCTGTGGAGTTCCAACCTGCCAGCACCAATGTGAGTCAGGCAAATGAGACTTGACAGGGGGTGACAATTAGGCAATTAGGGGGTGGCAAAAGGATTCACCCTAGCAGTCCTTTCAACAAACAATTTTGCCAACACATTTATACCAGAAAAATCTCTAATTTAGAACTCAATTATTATGTAAAACAAGGTATGTCTATATCTCAAATGATATCTTATGTTTCTATAAAATAGTGGGATCTTGCTTCATCTGTTCCTCCCTAGCATTTGTTCACATTACTTGGCCGACACTAAGGTAAAGGAGAGAAACTATAAGAACTCTGCCTTTTTCAGAATGGCATGGGCTCATGGCTTGATGGAACACAGAGTTCCACTCTGGGCTGTTCCATGTGTCTTCCTTCCTCATTAGAGTCAGTGCCTGATCCTCTTTCTCTTATGACTCTTTCACTGTCCTTACTTGGTGAAGAAGATCTGATTACATATCTTTTAATAGCATATGTTCTTTAAATAGAATACACCCTCACAATGTCCAGGGGTTCTTAACCTTTTTTATGTCATGCACCCTTCTGGTAGTCTGGAGAAATCTATGGAGCCCTTCTTTGAATAATGTTTTTAAATAATGGAAAGAAACACTAAATTTAAGTTACTCTAACTTAGTGAAAATAAAAATGTGATTTTTCTTTTTCCCATCTAAGTTCACAGACCTTCAAATCTATCCATGGACCCCAGGTTAACAACTCCTGGGGCAGACTCAGAGAATGTCAGAGTTGGAAGAGATCACAATGGTCATCTAGTTCAGCCTGCACTTGGACAGGAGTTTCCTCCACAACATCCTCCATACGTGGTTATCCTGCTTCCAGTTAAGATCTCTGACAACGAGGAGCCCACAGCCTCTTGAGGTAGCACACTACATTTTCTAACAAATCTAATACTTGGGCAATTTTCCCTTGTGAATTTTCTTGTCAAGGTAATTTACGTCCTTCCTTTTTATTCTTTTGCCTTTTCAGTTTAATTTTAGAAAGTCATACTGTCAGAGCCTAAAATAACAGAAAACTTACTTGTGCCAAACTTGATAATGTTTACTTTTTGCCCCTCATGGACAAGAGACAGGGCATGTAAGGCAATTTGCTTTGCTTGCAGTAATTCTGTGCCCTCCATAGAATTGGAGCAATCCAGACAAATAATAACTTCACTAGTATGGGCCTTTTCAGGTAGGACAGTACTGAAATCTGGATGGAACACAAGCATGCAGGCCTAGAAGGAAGAGGGAGACAATGGCTGAAATTAGCAAATGCATCTTACAACTTCAATTGGAAATGAAAAAGTCTTTATTATGAGAGAAATTATTTTACTATTATACTAATAACCAATTATTAAATTGGTATCCAGGCTTTTCTCCTTTATTTTCTCATTTAAGGTCCAGCTCCTCTAAAGTCAGTCTCTGAAGTACATGGCTGATGGATGACATTGCCCTAGTGCTCAAAGAACATGCTCTTCAATCTTGGGCAGGGACCCACCCAACTAGGGCCAACTAGGAGACCTTACTTCTGTTTAGTGTGTAAACAGAATCCAGTCAGGCAGACTTCTTACCCTGGGAGGAAATGGGGCTCTCTCCTTGTACCCCTCCGTTAAAGTTAGGGTGACCCAGCTCATGAAGGAGAAAACCAACTAGAGTGTACTGGGTGGAGATGGATTCCCCTGTCCAGATTGCTGGAGGCAGTGAGTTTCATAATCAACTCATGTTCTCAGCAAGAGGAGCTGAAGACTCCTAGCTTACATCCTCATTAAATGTCTACCAATAAGAGTTAATTTTCACTTGTCAGGAGCATTCCCTTTTACAAAGATATTTAAGGTATTCAGTGTTTCCAGGGTTTTGACCATCAATTTATTGATTGCCAGCTAGCCTAATTAATAAATTGATTATTAATTATCCAGAAATTCTGTCTCTTGCGTTTTCACTTGTTAAAATTATGACTTTCAGTTGATCTTCCATTTAAAAAATGAAAATAATTTTTATTTTGCTACTTGAGGTATTGAGTCCATAAAATTTAATTTTAAAGGACTGACAGAATTCTAGTTTTAAGTTCCAAAATGAAGAAGGCAAAATTAAGTTGAGCAACATAAAAAGGAACAGAATTACACAATAAAAATAGCAGTGAAGTGGCCAAAGCCAGGAAAACAATTTATGCAATAACAATGTGACAAAGTCATTATTTCTCATATTTAATAACTAATTATTGATCAGGACCAACGTTTTTCCTCTTTTCTACTTCCTTATCCAGAAACCAACCAGTTTGAGAAATCTTTCTTAAAGATTTACTCAGGCCAAGATCTATAAAGACAGTAAAAGAAATTCTAAGTTTGGGCTAATGGGTGTACACCTACTCATTCTGTTTGCTCAGACAGGTCTGGGAAAATGTGGATACTCTCTTTTGTCAGACAAGTGATAAGGAAATTGATAAGTCAAGATTTGGGTGACACAGGTCCCATGCCCCAAGACTCTAATTTTAATATAACCTATCTCCCATTATAATATTATTTCTCTTGTTGGCCATCAGAGTTGATTTTCACCTTCAGGAGCACTCCTTTTTCAAAAGATTTTATAAATACCAAGGTTCAAGTTTCAGGGGACAATGAAAAATTTTTTGTTAACTGCTTTCTAGACAGTCAATAAAACCGATTTTAATTTATTCAGAAATTTGGTCTCTCAGAACTTTTTAATCATCACAACAACATTGTAAAGAAAAAGAACTTGAGAAAATTAAGAGTTCTAGGCAATGTAATGACCAACCATGATTCCAGAGGCCTGATGAAGCATGGTACCTTCCTTCTGAAAAAGAGGCAATGAACTCAAGGTACAGAATAACACATACAATTTCTGGATATGGCCAATTTGGAAATTTGTTTTCTTTAACTATGCATATTTGGTGGTGTTTTCTCCCCAGTGGAGGAGAGTGAGAGGCAGAAAATAGATCTTTAAGCCAAAAAAAATTAAAACCAAAACCAAAGTAAAATAATTGAGGGCATAGATAGATTGATGGATATAATGGAATATTACTGTACTGCAAGAAATGATGAAAAAGAATTCAGAGAAAAACTGGAAAGATTTGTATTTTATGCATCTATAATAGCGCCAAGTGATGATAGATTCAAATGAAACTGGAATAAATTTGGTCATTTTTTTCTTCTGAAATGTTTTTTAAACAGTTGCATTGGTTGATAACCATTTTTTTCCAAATAAGAAGGGATTTACCTCACTTTCCTTGTCTGGGTGCTTTTCAACCCACATTCTTGGGAGGTAAGCCTCTCCAATATGGATCTGGAGAGAGAAGCCTTCGCTGTCTAAGGAACTGTTATCCAAAGTGCTGATTACAGCTTTGCAGTCTGTTTTCTACACAACAAAAGAAAAAAAAATACTTGATTTAATTGAATATTGTCCATTTTTGCCAGTCATTGTAGCATAACATCATTTTCAAAGCCGAGTTTAAAGGTGAGTTAAAAAATAAATTACAAAATTATGCGTTTCTGATCACTTGAAAGATATGAATTCTTAGGGTAAAACATTCATTTCAGCTACATTCGAGTATATCATGAAATTCAAAATTTGTATCTATCAACAAAGCCAAATCAAAATAGAAAATAACACTTCTAATTAAGTCATTAGGCAAGAAGACTGCCTTCTAATATGCCTTTCCTTGAATTATCTAATCTGGTTCAAAATATACCTGACAGTCACATTTTAAAAAATCTTTTAAATCTTACAATTTCTAAAATCTTACAAATGAGTCTCACTGATGGCAACACTGATAACACATTTTTACAAATAAGAAATGATTTTAAATATAGATAATAAGATTTTTAAAAGACTTACATACCTTTACTTTGAGTTTATGTGTATCACTGGTAATTAACTCAATTACATGTGGCATCTCAATCGATATATTTAAAGAGAATCTATCAAATATCAAGAAAAAAGGGTTGAAATTTAATATTCAGAGAGACATTACTTTCCTTCACATAACCTACAAGTGGTTCTTCAGATTTTATATGCTAGCTACTAGTGCTCCTCAAATTACCTTGTATTTCTTTTGAATATACTTATATACTCAGTTATCTCTTCTATTGAATGTAAGCTCTTTAAGGGAGGGATTATTTCATTTTTGTCTTTGTATCACCTAAAGGCACAGTGTGAATTTGCATAGGCTATCTCCCAAACCCAGATTACATAGCCTTTTCATTACTCCCTCAGAAGCCTTATCACCTAAATTGCCACCTCCTTTGCAGGATATTATCTGATTCCCTCCATCCGAAAGTATTCTGTCTCCCTTAAAATTTTGCTACAACACTTTGGAGTTCTTCTTTGCTCCTATGACACTCTGCCTTGTATTGAATACTTAGGTGCATACACTGCAGTTCAAATGGAATTTTAAAATATGAAATTAATGTCCACTAAATTCAGGCACTGAAATATTAAGGCCTTATATTTTAGGTACTTACCGTTGCTGCATTCCTACTTCCTTAATACAAACTTTCTCCACTGTATCCTGTGAAAAATAAGAATATCATCATGTATCCATAAAGTTTCAGAGTGGGTCTAATACAACAACTGAGATATAAGGAAAATGCTAGGTCATTGTATATACTCACATCAAGTAAACTGCTGGCAACATAAACAATGCTGCTAGTTTGCAACTTTGTACATCTGCAGATGTTTCCATGGTTTGCAAATGTCATGCATTTTCCCCTCGTGTAATAAGAGTCACTTTCAATTCAACTAATTATTGAGTAATATACTCAGAAAAGTTAATGAAATAACAACTAACAGCTAACATTTATGTAGTGCTTACTATGTGCTAAGCACTTTACAGTTACCTCATTTGATCCTCACACAACTCTGGAAGCTAGGTGTTATTATTATCCCCATTTTACAGATAAAGAAACTGAGCTAAACAGGTTAAGTGACTTGCCCAGGGTCACAAAGCTACTAAGTATCTTAGTGGGGATTTGAAATCGGGCCTTCCTGACTACAGGCTGATGCTCCCTCTGCTGTGCTAGTAGAGCTGCTGTTGATTGCTATACTATTCAAAAGAGGGCGACTGAAAATAATATTTTTCTCATTGACATGTATACTAAATTCTGTTATCTTTAGGAAACATTACCTATTTATAACAGTGGCATTAGATTCCTTTTGATAACTAATTTAAAAACTATAACTCCAAAGAAAATATCATTTAAAATGTAATGTTAAATACACAAACCTGCAAATTTTCGTATAAAGCTTTATCCTGTTGCCACGGTGCTACAGTAGCAGGCATGAAGAAGTTAGCATATCCATGATGAAAACTGAGCTCAGTGACATAAGTAATTTTGATAAGAACTTTGGCCTGTGGTGGTAAGTTTCCAATGCTCACAGTAAAGACATCCTGAAATGGAAACATTATTTACTTTACAAAGCTGAGACCTGTCTAGTCCAAGTTCACCATTTAATATCCTATATTAATAACCAATTCAAATAAAGACAATATACCTAGCCTTCTGGAAAACTTTTCCTAGGAAAATGGAGATAGGGTTTAAGCTTATTTTGAAGATTCACAATTTTGCTGAGGTTGGCACTCCTTCCACCAATTCAGACTTTGATCCTTCTATGCCTTAGTAGATGAATTATTATAGCCAAAAAAATTAATCACCTGCCAATGTAGTGTTAAGCCTTTATGAATTTAGATAGGCTGGTTTTTAGATAACACACAGATTATCCATTCTTAGGCCCCTACAAGAAGTCTTTTGGGGGGGGCATTTAGGCAATGGGATTAAGTGAATTGCCCAGGGTCACACAGCTAGTAAGTGTTATGTGTCTGACCCTGGATTTGAACTCAGGTCCTCCTGAATCCAGGGCCGGTGCTCTATCCACTGCGCCACCTAGCTGCCCCAAGAAGTCTTTCCAGCTTGGTAGGACCTGCCAAAATTTCTAGTCTACCAAATGTCTGTATTAATCATTATGGTTTTTTTAATCTGGATCAAGATCTTGCTCTGACTCTGGGTGAATCCACTTACTGTTATCTTTTTTTTAATGGAGACAAGGAAATATTAATTCAAAAAGGATAACTTGGTCAACATCTGAGAAACATCTTTCTCCTTCCTCCATACCTGTTGATTTTTCAGAGGTCCTACACAAACTTCAAATAGATAATAGACCTACCACTACACCCTACTTCTTGAACTCAGAGGACTGACTGCCTTCTGGGAGAAACTGATAATCTCACATTGAAAAATATATTTCCCTGGAAAATCACAGGCTTTCAGGTTAAAATTTAATTCTACAGAATAAAAAGTCTAGTACCAAAGATAACTCAAGAAGGCTATTAAAATAGTACTGCTTCCTCATATACAAAATTATTTTCCCTTATATTAAGGCATTTAAAAATTAAAGTGATATCTTTTGATATCACTAGTCCCTCCTCTAGTTAGCTCAATCCAAAGACTGCAAAAATGATGGGGCTGAACAACATGATCTCAAAGCTTCCTTTAAACTTTAGAAGTCTATGATTCTAAAGAAGTGAGTAGAACATCTTACCTAGAGAAGGGTTTGAAATATAATCCCTCCATGAATCTAATTTTATTTATTTATCTATTTATTTATTCATTTTTTAAAGGTCCTGAATCTCTGAAGCAAAGGCTAATTGACTACTTATTGGGTTTATGGTGAGGAAACTCCTGCTTGTTGTTTGAGTTGGACTAAATGGTATCAGAGATTCTTTCTAATTCTTGAGATTCTTTTATTCTCTTTAAGGCTATTCAGGATGAGGAACAGTGAAACACAATTAATTACTTGTTATTATAATCCATTTTATATTGCTAGGTCTGTGAACAGTTTGATTTATCTCTTATGAAGGAATTTATTTAAAATCATTCTCATATTCTTTAGTACTCCACAGTTCCCTTTTCTTCTCAAGGAAGCAAAGAAGTCAGCTGGTATCAGGATCATTTTCAATGAGGTCTTCAGAATGGAAGCCACCATATCTCTGCTGAGTTAGCCCACTCTCTAATGGACAAAGTTACAAATTTATAGTCATAATAAAGACTCATTATAATTCCAGTGGCCTTTGACAAGCCCAACATGAAGAGGAAAACTGTACTGCATCCGATCAATTCAAAGTACTCTGTTTTACTCTTATGAAGAAATTTTCTGGGACAGTTAAGAAGCATCCCCTGATCCACTTTGTACATCTTTCTAAGGACGAACAGGAAGTTCTCTTGGGTAATCTTCAGATATATCAAAACAAAATTAGGGGCAGCTAGGTGGTGCAGTGGACAGAGCACCGGCCCCGAAGTTAGGAGGACCTGAGTTCAAATCTGGCCTCAGACCAAACACTTGACACTAGCTGTGTGACCCTGGGCAAGTCACTTAACCCCAACTGCCTAAAAAGAATTTTTTAAAAAATTCACCATTAGGACCTAGATCTTAATTACAATTTTCTGCTACTGAGAATCTTGTTTATTATTCTTCAGACCCAAAGTTTCCATTCAACCAATTGGACAATCGTGTTCTATCTGTGAAGCCTGATGTAAATATATGCTTGCTACCCAACAACACTAATCTTCCTGATTTTTTGGGTAAAATCTACCTCCCCCAAATTGTATTGTAGTTGAGGTCTCTGCTCCTCACGTCAAAATTCATTAAATTTCATTCTTTGTAGCCATAGACTACAATTATTTTGTTCTTCTAGTTACCTTGTCTTCTGAGTCTTCCTCTTTAAAAAGTATGGACTCTTTAGCCCAGAAATTTTACCCCCTACAAAGAACTGGACTTATTTCCCTGTGGATCTGCATCCAATACATACTGTCAATGTTAGGGGATTCATATGATCTCAATTTCCAAAGGGAAGGTTGTTTTGCATATTTTGCCTCTGTAAGTGTTTTGATCACATCTCAGAATGATTAAATACCCAAGAATATGGCAGTTTTGGAAAGCAAATATAAAGATTATTATCTTCTAACAATCTTGTCTGGCTTTATCATTATCAGTTTACTAAAGGCTTTTGGTCCAGACCACTGACTTCACTAGACAATTTAGACAAATAGGAAACTCATCTGTCAACTATTATCTTCATGGCTCACCTGAGGGCATTGAGAGGTGAATTCCATTTTCCATGGGCTCACAGAAGTACCATGTGTCAGAAGCAGCCCCTGAACCCAGGTCTTCCTGACTATAAGGCCAGCCCCCTTTCCACTATTCACTACCTTTCAGAAACTTGACTCTTAGAAAATTACTTCCTCCACACCCAGATTTTCTGTTTGTCTTTCATCCATCCATCTTACCACAAAGTAACATCGGTAGGAATAAGGGTAGAGTAGTAGTCATTCTGATTTCAATCAACATTAGAGTCTTAGTCATTAAGTTACATGGTCCATATAACAAACATATCTCTCTTATTTTTAGTTGGCTTTTCAATAACACCATTTTGATACCATCTTATAACTCCCATCACATCCTTTTGGAAGTTGATGGGGTTTAAATCCAAAATAACATTAAATCATGTAATATAAGAAGAAATTTGCTGTTCTCAGAGACTACATTTTGTAACTAGCGCAGAGCTGCTGATGACATGACAAAGGGCATGCTGAATTCTTAGGCAAGGTTTCTCTCTGACAACTGAAAATAGAGTTTTTTGTTCTAAACATTTTCAATATTTAATTTCAATTTTTACTTTACAGTAGGTATTATGTTTTAAAGAATTTAAAGCTTTTTTCCATTTCAGAGGAACATGACACATTAATAGCATGCCATACAGGACTATCCTGATCCACCAAGTAAGCTCCGTGGCCTTGACTGACAGCCTTCCTGTACTCCTGATGAGCTTCTTCCTTCTCCCTGACCTGCAAAAGAGCATTTTAAAATGTCATGACATAGATGGTGACTTCATTGTTTCATACAGTAGAGCTAATTATTTACACTCAAATCCTAGAAATGTTCATTTCAGAAATGAAAAAAGATTCTGAAATGAATGTAAACCTGAAAAGTAGCCAATGTGCCAAATCACCTCTCAGAAACCCATTCTACCAGATAAATAAAAGAGGGTGTGTCTGCAGAGAGAGCAGAACGAGGGTAATTCATTCATTCCTCTTTACCTCTCCTATTATATGCTTGCCATTGATGAAAGCTTCAAATCCACACACAGCTGCTTTGGCATCCAAGGGAAAGACATACTTTGTTTCAATAGGCAGATGACTCTTATTGGTATATGTTTGGAAAACAATGATCTGGAAACAGAACAAGATCCACTTTGTTAATGAAATGTTTCCAAAAACTATTTTTGCAAAAAGTGGCCAACACAAACTGCATATTTTGGGTTTAGACAGCATGTGTTAGCTCTGCTATGTGCCTTAGTTTTCTCATGGGCCCTACAGACTGAGGGCCGAGATGTGTAATGCAGATCCTGAATCACACATAAACGTGCAGTCTGCTCTAACTGTAAGCAGTTGGTGCTTACCTGACAGGGGCATGTCTTATCCCCACAGAGTTAATACAACGATAATAACAACTTTGATAGAACTTTACAATTTATTTTTTAAAAAGCACGATAGTGGGGAAAAGTATTTTATATAAATGAGAAGATCCTTAAAAATGCTTGAACTCAGAGTAAATGTAAAACCAACAAAGATCCAGAGAATAGGTAATAAATCATACCTTCATGAGAGAGAAGTGGTAGACTACTAGGTCATTGTCAAATATAGTTACTGAATCAAATATGTCTGCTTAACATTTTGTTTCATTTTTGAGTCTGGGTCAGTCCATCTTGCCCAGGCTGCAAGTGCAGTGGCCTCTGATAGTCCTGACGCCACTTCTGGTCAACAGGGATGCTTCACCTTGTTCTCTTTCTGACTTGAGTTAGTTCTACCCTCTTATGGCAGGTTGGTGCTCTCCTTATCACCACCATATTGGTGATGGACTTAGTACAGATACATGATTGACTTTAATTCTATTACAACTAAGAACTCCTGAACTCAAGTGATTCACTGGCCTCAGGATCCTCAGTAGCAGGATTATAGGTGTGCACCAACAATGCTTAGTTTAATTGATTTTCTTTGTCACAAGGCAGGGTTAAATATAGAGGGGGTTGGGGGGTTGGTTAGAAATGACCAGTGAAGACTAAAGACGTTAACAAAACTCTTTTTTTTTTTTTAAAGAAAAAGTATTGTAAAAGAAAGCCAGAATTCTAGGCTTAGCCCTGCCACTTGCTAGAATTGGTGTGAACTGCTGAAGTCAATTCACATATCTGAGGATCAGTTTCCTCATATATAATACAATAGGGTTACACTAGATGAGCTTTAAGGATCCATCTAACTTGAAATCCTTTCATCCTATATATACTTTATATCCATTTTATACTTTATATAGCATATGTACATCCTAAATCCTATATATACTTTCATCATAATTTGAAGGGTCTACTTACTACTAATGATGAACCTATAATTGCTACCTATTTCTCAAGGCAGTTTTTAAGATTTAAGTCATAGAAATATATATATATATATATATATATATATATATGTGCGTGCGTGTGTGTGTGTGTGTGTGTGTGTGTGTGTATGTATGTATGTATGTATTTTTAAGCAGGGAAACTCCAAGCATTAAGATTGTAATTACCTAAGTGTACATATCATATATATTTATATGCATTGAATATATGACAAATGATAAAGAGGAAAATTTATATTGTTTTACAGTTAAAATATCTCCATTAAGGGGAAGTAAAGCATTAAAATATAATTATTAGTCATAACAAAAAAAGGATAACACAAGTAAGCTTTAAAATAAACAAGGGAGGAATTATAATAAAATTCTTATTTCTTATCAATATTGCTCATAATGTAGTTACTGTAGAAACATACGATAATTTTTTTTTACTGGATCTGTGATTTCACTGGGGAGACTCCAAAGGAGGAGTGCTAGCCTGGTGAAGCTTATAGTGGCTTGGGGGAGGAAGCCTTCCTCACAGTTCCGGGACAGAAAGGAGTACTTGTGGTCATTAATAGACCAGAGCCTAGGCCAGGAAAGGAGTAAACACCTTGCCTGTTATCATACCACCTTGAAAGAACTGAAAATTTACAGGTCCTTACAAGTATCTCTGAAAACAGCTGTATAGACTCCTGAAGCTTGGGACAGTACATTCTCTACATTGGAAGCAGACTCTTACCTTAACAAACAGTTTAGAACTCAAGTAATTGGCTGGGATCATGAGCAAACAGCACAAAAACAGTCAGACTACATTATCTTACTTTGGTGACAAAGAAGATCAAAATATACAACCAGAAGAAGACAACAAAGTCAAAGCTCCTACATCGAAAGCCTCCAAGAAAAAATGAATCAGTCCCAGGCCTTGGAAGAGCTCAAGAGGGATTTTGAGAAGCAAGTAAAAGAAGTAGAGGAAAAACTGGGAAGAGAAATAAGAGTGACGCAAGAAACTCATGAAAAACAAGTCAACAGCTTGTTGGAGACCCCAAAAAATACTAAAGAGAATAACACCTTAAAAAGTAGCCTAACCCAAATGGCAAAAGAGGTCCAAAAATCCAATGAGGGAAAAAATGTCCTAAAAAGCAAAACTGGCCAAATGGAAAAGGAAGTCCAAAAGATTACTAAAGAAAATACTTCTTTAAAAATTAGAATAGAGCAATTGGAAGACAGTGACTTAATGAGAAATCAAGACACTGTAAAACAAATCCCAAAGAATGAAAAAAATAGAAGACAATGTGAAATATCTCATTGGAAAAACAACTGACCTAGAAAATAGATACAGGAGAGAGAATTTAAAAATTATTGGACTATCTGAAAGTCGTGGTCAAAAAAAGAGCCTAGACATCATCCTTCAAGAAATTATCAAGGAAAAGTGCCCTGATATTTTAGAACCAGAGGGCAAAACAGAAACTGAAAGAATCCACAGATCTCCTCCTGAAAGAGATCCCCAAAGGAAAACTCCTAGGAATATTGTAGACAAATTCCAGAGTTCCCAGGTCAAGGAGATAATATTACAAGCTGCCAGAAAGAAACAATTCAAGTATTGTGGAAACACAATCAGGATAACATAGGATTTAGCAGCTTCTACATTAAAGGACCACAGGGCATGGAATATAGTATTCCGGAGGGTAAAGGAGATAGGATTACAACCAAGAATCACCTACCCAGCAAAACTGAATATAATCCTTCAGGGGAAAAAATGGTCATTCAGTGAAATAGAGGACTTTCAAGCATTCTTGATGAAAAGACCAGAGCTGAATAGAAAATTTGACTTTCAAACACAAGACTCAAGTGGAACATGAAGAGATAAACAGAAAAAGAGAAATCATAAGAGACTTATTAAAGTTGAACTGTTTACATTCCTGCATGGAAAGATGATATTTATAACTCATTAGAACTTTGTCAGTATTAGGGTAGTTGGAGAGGGAAAAATTATATGTATGGATAGATAGATAGATAGATAGATAGATAGACAGATAGATAGATAGATAGGTTAGATAGAGGGCACAGGGTGAGTTGAAGATTAAGGGGTCATATCTGGAGAACAAAATTAAGGGATGAGAGAGGATTATACTAGGAGAAGAAAGGGAGAGGTAGAATGGGGTAAATTATTTCACAAAAAAACACAGAAAAGAAAAGGCTCTTATAGTAGAGGGAAAACAAGGGAAGGTGAGAGGGAATGAGAGAATCTTATTCTCATAGGATTTGGCTTAAGGAGGGAATAACATACACATTCAATTGGGTATGGAAATCTCTCTTACCCTACAGGAAAATAGGGGGAGAAGGGGACAAGACAGCAGGGGGGTTATAGAGAGGAGGGCAGAATGGGAAAGTGGGTAATCAGAAGCAAATACTTCTGAGGAGGGACAGGGTCAAAAGAAAGAATAGAATAAATGGGAGGGCAGGATAGGATTAAGGGAAATAGAGTTAGTTTTTCACCATATGTCTACTAAGGAAGCGTTTTGCATAACTGCACATGTACAACCTATATTGAGTTGCTTGCCTTTTCAATGAGGGTGGGTGGGGAGGGAGGAAGGGAGAAAATTTGGAACTCAAAGTGTTAAAAACACATGTTTTTAAAAAATGTTTTCACATGCAACTGGGAAATAAGAAATACAGGAAATGGGGTATAGAAGTCTATCCTGCCCTACAGGAAAATAGAAGGGGAAGGGGATAAGAGAAAGGTGGGTGGAGAGATAGAAGAGAGGGCAGACTAGGGGAAGGAGTATTCAGAATGCATGCCATCTTGGGGTGGGGGGAGGGGGGAGATGGGGTGAAAATTTGGAACTCAAAATCTTGTGGAAGTAAATGTTGAAAACTAAAAATAAATAAATTTATATATAAAAAAAGAAAAAAACTATTTGGGATACATATCTAGTAGTGGTATTGCTGCATCAAAGGGTACACACAGTTTTGGTTGCACCATGGGCATAGTTCCAAATTGCTCTCCAAAATAGTTGGATCAGTTCACAACTCTACCAACAGTGTATTAGTGTCCCAATTCTCCCCTCCAACATTTATCATTTTCCTTTTCTGTCATATTGGCCAATCTGATAGGTGGTACCTCAGAGTTGTTTTAATTTACATTTCTCTAATAAATAGTGATTTAGAGCATTTTTTCATATGACTATAGATAGCTTTGTTTTCTTCATCTGAAAACTTCCTGTTCATATTCTTTGAGAAAAGGAAGTTTTGAAAAGAAGAAATATAAAGTATCAGCAACCATATTAAAGAGTGCTCTAAATCTCTAACAATAAGAGAACTGCACATTAAAACAACTCTGAAGTTCTCTACTTCATACGCATCTGATGGAGGAAGATGACAAGAGATAAGAGTAACAAATACTGGAGAGGCTGTGGGAAGACAGCCACACTAATGCACTGTAGGAGGAAATTTATCCAACCATTCTGGAGAAGCACTTGGAATTTTATAAAAAAAAAGTCATTAAATGTGTCCTCTAACTCAGTGATAACACTAAGTGTTGTTATGTAGTCGTTTTCAGTCATGTCTCACTCTTTATGGCCCCTTTTGGATTTTTCTTGGCAAAGATACTAGAGTGTTTTGCCCTTTCCTTCGCTAGCTCATTTTACAGATGAAGAAACTGAGGCAAACAGTGCTAAATGACTTGCCCAGGGTGACACAGCTAGTAAGGTCTGAGGCCGCATTTGAACTCAGGTCTTCCAGACTCCTGGCCCAGAATTCTATCTGTTATGCCACCTAGCTGCCCTGATACCACTAATAT